AGGAAGGTAGACCATGGAGGGAAGGAGAAAGGAAGGTAGACCATGGAGGGAAGGAGAAAGGAAGGTAGACCATGGAGGGAAGGAGAAAGGAAGGTGGACCATGGACAGGAACGAAGCAAAAAAAATTCTACCGTTTACCTATTTATGTGTGTCATCTTGGACCCGTTTTCCAGCAGTTGATGCTCCCCACCAATAGATGGAGCCTCTCCCCAGGTGCTAGTGGTGGCTGCTCTTATCAGCACCACTAACACTGGCGGGGGCAAAAAAAAAGAAAAAAAAAAAGGGTTCCATGTTCTCTTTATCGCTCCGAAGGAACCCGCCGTTATTTTTCTTTTTTGAAACAACGGGGGACGCGGCACGTTTTGAGTTCGCAAAGACAAAAAAAGCACGAAAACAGGCGCCGACTTTGAAACGGCAATTAGGGTCGACAAGTATCCGTTGGGCGTTTTTTTTTTCTGCCTTGCTTTCCCCCATCCGACACAACGGCCGACGCCTGTAGATATGACACCCCCAGTCTGACGCCACGGCCGTTGGTACTTCCATTTCTTTTTCGAACTCGGGGCCTGTTTTCTTTGCCTGCGCGTGTTTTTTTTGGCTTTATTCGATACTCAAAAGTGACGTGAACGTACGTACGTCTTTTTTTTTTTTCTTTTCCCGGCGCTGGCGCCAAAGCGTGTCATTAGTTTGAATTCGAAAGGTAAGCGGTATTGGCATTAGTGGCGCCAAAGCGTGTCAAAAAAAAAAAAAAAAAAAAAAAAAAAAAAAAAAAAAAGCGTGTCATTAGTTTGAATTCGAAAGGAATCCAGCGGTATTGGCATTGGCGCTCATTTTCCGGCTCGTTTATCTGCGTGTCATCGTCTCCCGCCCTTTGCGCTGCTGCCGCAAACGAGCGCGTTGGATTCAGTCTTCTCCTTCTTGGTCTTCACGTCGCCCCACCACCTGTGAAACCTTGTGACACCCAGGTATGCTTTCACTGCCCCGACTTTTCCTGCTCCTCCTCCTCTCCTCCCACCTTCCGACCTTCTCCTCTTCTTCCCGCCGTTCCTTCGGTATTGTTCTCCATCCTCTCCTTCCCAATCGTCTCCATCTCCATCTCCATCTCCATCTCCATCTCCATCTCCATCTCTGCATCCCTCCTATACTTTTTTTTTTCTTTGTATATCATTTGGCCCGATTGACCGTCGATCCTATATTTTTTTTTCCTGTTATACGATATCCTAGTTCAATGTCAAACATTCCGTCTCATCAGCCTGCAGGTGTGTTTTCCGGCCAGCTTACGCGGTTTGAGCAGATTTGTGACAATTGGCATATGATTTGATTTCACAAGTCTGCGGCAACCATACTTGTCCGCCGTTTGCTTTCCCGTGGCCAATGTGGCCATGCTCCTTCGACATTGGCCCGATGATGACGGACTCCATCCTGTGACACTCGTGCTCGCCAGCGTCGACAACCGATACATGTAGCTCGTCTTACACCCTCTCCTTGTTTCGACGTATGCTTCGCTCGTCCGTGCATCATCCTCTTCCACCTTCTCTTCCCCCCTTTCCTTCGCTTCTACTTCTCCCTGTCCCCCTCCTCCTACCCATTCCTCTTTTCCATCTTCTCATCCTCCTCCGCCTCCCCCTCCCCCTTCTTGTCCACCTTCCCCTCCTCTGTCTTCCCCCTCTTGCTCTCCACTTCCCCCTTCTTCTCCCCCTCCCTCTCCTCCTCCTCCTTCCCCTTCCACTTCCCCTCCGCCTTCCTCTCCCCCTCCCCCTCCCCCTTCTTGTCCACCTCCCCCTCCTCTGTCTTCCCCCTCTTCCTCTCCACTTCCCCCTTCTTCTCCCCCTCCCCCTC